TTCTTTGTTATGGAGCAGCAGTCAGTCCATGCAATTTTGGACGCGATTTTCACTATGGGTCATCCGGAAACAGTCTCTCTGTGCTTTAGTACAGGGATAAGACTGCGTACATCCGACCCTCCCTTAACCCACCGTAGGTGGAGCCTTTGCGGCACTGGGGTAAATGAAAATGATGAAATGATGATGATAAGAGTTGGTGTGTAAATACAAAGTTTTTAAAAACATGGTGCAAAGTTTAAATTGGATAATAAAACGGGGCGTAAACTCAAATTATCCCAAATTGCAACATAAAACAACACAAAAAATAATGTTAAAATAAGAAAATAAATATATAGTTAACTTGAATTTTCCATTTAAGAATTGAATGAAAATTTTGATAAGAGGAAGTATAAATCAACAATAACGAGTAATTCAAGAATATGTGCGCTAATCGAGTGAGTCGAGTTGGATTTCAGCTTAGATTGATACGGATTGATAAAGAAAAATTAAATTTGAGTTCAAGTTGAGTTTCAGTCGAGTTGATAAATATAGAGCTTGGTTTGAGTTGAGTTTGAATTACAGCTGGATTCAAATTGCATTTGAATTTTATCCATTCTAAAAAGTGATATACTTTTAAAAGTGATATACATACTCTAAACTTTAATGGGGTGTGAGGTGTGTACCTCAAACTTACATATGTAATATATATACTTTGAACTTTATATAAGCGGTTATTTTTGCTTCATGATTATATGTTTTTTACGAATACAAATTTAATGGAATAATTATATAATTTAAAATACCATAAGTCTAGTTAGAATGCAATTAACATTCTAAAATTTCATTTTTGAAATAAATAATATTACATCCGATAAAATTTAATTTTTATTACATCCTCATAAATGTTTTGTGTATTTAAAATTATGTACTTAAAAACCATAAAATTACATTTATGAAAAATATATGGTCATGTTGCTCACATAACTTTTTATATAAAGTTTGAGGTACATATATTACATGTGCAAGTTTGGGGTACTTATGTCACACACCTTCAAAGTTTGGGATATTTAAATTATTTTTCCCTATTTTAAACAAAGAAACACTGTTTTAAATTTACTTCCTAGTTAAAATCTAAGATGAATTAAATCTAATATGAATTAAGTTCAAATAATTCTACTTAAATCTTGTCCGAGAATGTCTAATGTTTACACAACACATTTAAATAGTCTAAAATGTTAAGCATATGTTAATATCTCGTAAAGTTTTAGTAGAAGTATAATTTTTATGTATGGATCCATATTATGAGTATAATCCTCAATCTCTTTGAGGCCGTTGGGAAGCACTGTTTTTCGACTTATCAGGCTTATCAACCAACTTTTTCACCAAACATGTAACTTTTGATTTCACACGTTGAATTGTGTAATAAGCAGAAAAAGCAAGGTTGGAGTTACTTTTCTGACTGTATTGGCTGAAGTTACTGTAGATGACCATTTTAGCTATTTTTACATATAATTTTTTCTTTATTTTATTAAAAAAATATATTTTAAATTTTTTTTTCTTAAATCAGCAGAATCAGCCAATGCAGCCACTTCAAACAGAACTTCATAAATTTCAGCAGAATCAGCCAAATCAGCCGATTTCCGTGCTACCAAACGAGTTATTTGTTAACTTTCTTTTTTAATTGTCACACAAACTTTACCACTTTTCTATTAAAGTAATGAATTTGTGAATATTTTTATTTCTTTCTCTTCTCCATAAATCTCAAACATACAATTTTTACTTTTCTTATTTTATACCCAAATCAAAGTATGAAATGTCCAATGGGATGAATGAAGTCTAATATATAAAGTCATATTTATGTGTCTAAAAAATCAATACTACGGTACTACCTCATAATCGAGTAATTTGTCAACTTTTCGAGTCGATTTCTGTAACTTGAATTTGACTTGGTTTGGACGAACTGAGTTTAAATCGATTCGAGCTAGATTCTAGTAGGAATCGATTGAATTCGAATCTCAAGTTGAAATAGACTATTGGTAGCCCAATATTGTGACCCAAATGTCACAAGTTCATGTCCTTCATTGGACAATTGGTAGTGTGAGAAGTGTATATAGCGGCGAGATTGAAGGGTCTTTAGGATAAATTGTTATTATCTCCGATACAATAATAGGGGTGGATTCGGTTCGGGCCACCTGGCCCGTGACCCGGCCCGGCCCGCTACTGTGCGGGCCCGGGACCGGCCCGGTCTGGCGGTCCGGGACCGGGTGTAGACCCGAACCGGTGGGAATGAGCGGGGCGGGCACGATTCCGAAAAAATGTGACCCGGCCCGACCGGGTCGGGCCCGGGTCCGGGTCCAACGATCCTATTTTTTTTTTTTTTTTTTTGTTAAATACTTACTAGCCATTATGGCCTTGGGGGTGGGCTGGGGACAACCCAAACGGCTATATAGCCGTTGGGTGGGGTGCAGGGGGTCCGGGGGGGTTGGGTGGTGGTGGGTGGTGGTGGGGGGTGGGGGTATAAAAACCTATAAATACTCCTAATCTTAAACATTTTTTCATATCTCTTCTCCAATTCTTCCTAAATCCTATTCTTAACTCTCTACTCTCTAATTCTCTTATTCTCCAATATACTATATTTATTATTTATAGTTTATATTAATTATCTACTTATAATTTATAAATACATACATTATAGTATTATATTACTTATATTTGTTATCTAATTATATATTACTTATATATTTATTATATCTATTAATATAGTTGGAATTATATCTAATTAATTTGAAGTCATTCTATTACTCTCATCCGAAAGACCGAAAGTCCGAAAGATGTACAAAATTATTCTATTATTTACACTTGTTTAATTTTGTATTAACGTTACTTGAAAAAAAACTAGTTAATTAGGTTGTACACAAAACTAGTTAATTCACTAGTTAATTTGCTATAACTCGAATTAATAGTTAGATAAATAGTTAATTAGTTTTTTACAATTTTTTTATTAATCGCTACATTTTTTAGATGAATCGTCCTAGATATTCGGTTGATATGGGTAATCTCGAGCGCAACCGAACGAAAGAGCTTGCGAGGAAGAGATCCCGCAAAGGTAAATCACATATCGACTCTTCATCTCAAAGTCGAGATGATTTTGATACGGGTTACGCAAGAAGGGATGTGGATGCGATGACCGACGAACAACTAGAACAAGAATTGCATCGACATAATTCCCGCTTTTTTCAAGACCAACCGAGGACCATTGACGAAGAAGAGCTCGAGGACGAGGACGACGATGTGGAGGAAGTAATTCCGGAGAGCCAAGACGACAAGGAGGAGGAGGGTGGCGGCAGCCATGACGCCGACCAACCTGCCTCATCCCAAACAGGTACAAAAAAAAAGTAAATCTGAACTAATGGTTAATAATTTTTCTAAGTGGAAGGACCCGAACACCGAGAATTGGACCGCAACATGCAATTGGTGCAAGAAAAACTATAGCTTGGGGATTTCCGGCGGATACGGATCTAAAACTATAGCTTGCAATTTATGTGTGCAAGATGGTCTAAAAGCGTTGGGAGCATCGTTGGAGGTAGTCAATGGGGGATTAGACGTATTTGGGGTAATTGACAACTTAGGAAAAAATGACATGATTATTTGATAGAAAGATGTGAGAGATATGTGGCTTTTCCTAAAGATTTGTCTATTCGTTGGAATAGTACCTATAAGTTAATTGGAGTTCTTCTTAGATATAAACAACATTTTCCTGCTTTTATGAAACAATATGATAACTATATTATAAACTCGGCTGAGATCGACACCTGTGAAAAAATTTGTAATGCTTTGATATATTTTAATAATGCAATTGAAACTTTTAGTCATGTTTATAAACCTACCTCAAACCAATTTATTCGTGAAGCTGTTAATCTCGCCGGTGCTTTTTCAAATTTTGAGAATACTAATTATGTGAGTTATTTTGCTAGTTTTATGAAGGAAAAGTTTTTAAAATATTATTCACATATTCCGCATATTTATGGTAACAATAATACGAAAATTATGATTTTTTTTGTAAATGTAGAAAAATGGGAAATGTTTTTTTAAATATTATCAAAACACAATTTATATAAAAAATATGACTAATAATTACTACAACGTTAGTGTCATGACTTAAGTTTATAAAATTAATACTCCCTCTGTCCCTTATAACTTTGCCAACTTTCCTTTTTTGGTTGTCCCAAAAACATTGTCATTTTCCCTTTTAATCAATCAATTTGTGGCTCCTGTTATTTCTCTCTCCTCAGCACAAATCTCTACCACACATTTTTTACTTTATTATTCTACGTGCCGGTCAAATTTGACAATCCGTTTAGGGACGGAGGGAGTACTACGTATAAATTATTATGATTGCATTACTACTGTAGTCACTTGTAACATTTTTCTAAGGGAGAATTACCAAATAAGTCCCTAAACTTTCATAAAAAGTGTAAATAAGCCCTTCTATAGGAGGCTCTGTCCGACCATCGCCATTTGAGGAGGTTTTCGGTATAATTTTTTGATGATATTTTTTGAGCATCTTTTTCATTAAGTCTAGTTTACTGACACCAAATTTCAGCTAAAAATTCAATCGGGAAGGTAGTCTAATGAAATTTTGAAGATAAATGCACAGTTAGGTAGCACGATATATTTCAGAAAATCATTTGACTGCCTTCTAGATTGAATTTTTAACTGAAATTTGGTATGAGTAAACTAGATTTAATGAAGAACATGCTCAAAAAATTTCACCGAAAACTGCTCCAAATGGCGACAGCCGGACAAAACATCCTTTAAAAGGGCTTATTTGCACTTTTTATGAAAGTTCGAGGGCTTACTTGATAGTTCTCATTTTTTCTAAAGAAAATTTATTTTAATTATAAATAAATAATTTTAAATATTGCAAAGGAGGATTCTCAAGAAAATGAAATTGTAAAGGAGAATATGAATGTAAGGGCAATTGGATTCCTTAGATTATTTAAGATTTAATTGGATGATGTGTAAGATATTACTCCTGTATCTTTGGAGTATTTAAAAAGATTATTGAAAAACATAATCGTTATCAAAATTTGAATCCTGTATCCCTTTCCGCGACTCCGCGAGGTTCCAGATCTGATCAAACATGAGCGGGAAAAATCAGTTCTGGCTACTGAAAACGGAGCCGGTAACGTGGTCGTGGGAGGACCAATCCGCCAACGGTGGTTTATCCAAGTGGGACGGAGTGAAGAACAAGCAAGCCCAGAAGCACATGAAGTCCATGCACCTTGGCGACCTCTGTTTCTTCTACCATTCCGGCAAAAAATCCCGACGAGTGGTCGGCGTTGTCAAGGTGGTCCGCGGCTGGTACACGGATGGTGAAAGAGATAAGGAAAGTGGTGGCGGAGCGGTGGACGTGGAGGCCGTGGGAGAGATGAGAAGGCCTGTGGACTTGACGGAGATGAAAAGGGATGACGCCCTTAAAGGGTTTGTGCTTTTCCGGCAGCCTAGGTTGTCGGTTGTGCCGGTAGAGAAAAGTATATGGGAAAGGGTGTGTGAAATCGGGGGTGGATATAGTGGCGATGGGTTGGGAGATGAGGATGAGGAGGAAGAGGAGTAGGCTTCTGCAGCTCAAGTGTTTGCGATTTTGTCTCACAGAAAGGTTTTTGCTCTTCTGATATCTTTGTCCAGTCAGGAGGAGGGTGAGGGAATTTTGTACACTTTTGGGATGAAACTGTTAAATTTTGAATTGTCCCTGGAAAACTCCCCAAGTTTGCTGCTTTGTTTTTCTCTTGAAGTCCAGCTATGCTGTTGTTTCTCCCCAAAGCCCCTATGGAACGTTGTATTTTGAGAATCTCTATATGTGTTTCTTTTAGGCCCTGTTTGGTTGGAGGGTTTCGAAGGGGGAGGGGAGGAAAGTGAGGGATTTGTGTGTGTTTGTTTGAATGAAATAGGGGGGAAGGAGAGGAAAGTGGAAGACTTTCAAAATCATCCACTTCCTCTCATTTTAAACCCCCAAATCGGGGTATTTCGGAGGACACGTGTTGATAACCACAAACTATCCATCTCCTACGTCAATGAACAAAACGTTATAATATAAAAAGGTAGAAAACAAAAAGTTTTGAAAAATTAAAAAAAAATTAAAAATGTAAAAATTTAAAGATTAAAAAATTTAAAAAATAAAAAATAAAAAATTTTAAAAATTAAAAAATTTAAAAATTATTAATTAAAAAATTTAAAAATTAAAAATAAAAATATTTAAAAAATAAAAATAAAAAATAAAAAATTCCAAACTGAAAAATGAAAAATTATAAAATTAAAAAAGTAAGAAATCAAATAAAATAAAATTACGACTCATGACCATAGGAGTAATATTCACAATAGTTAGACATGTATCTATTTTTTTAAGTAAGCTATCAAATAAAAGTAAATTGCGAAAATATTTTCATTAAACCTTTCCTCCTATTTCCACCAACCAAACACAATTTTTTATCAAAATTCTTCCTTCCCCTTCCCTTCCCTCCTTGACTCTCCCCTTCCATCTCCTCCTTTGAACCAAACAAGGCCTTACTGTGTGTTTGTGTCTATGTAATCCTGAAGCTTAATGTTTAACTGTTTAAATTTTAAAAGCTAATCAACCTTGCTTTTATACTAAGTATTTAAATATTATTCAAAAGTTTTTAGTTGTATATTTGTAAGGACAATTTTGAATAACTTTTACAAAATAAAAGATCATTTTGAGATACTATAGTGAATAACATGTGGGAGAAAGTCAATAGCATTAGTTACTCATGGCAGTTTGTTTTATCAAACAGAACTAACACAAACAATTACGGAGTAGCTATTTATCAAACAACTATGAAGTACAACATTTTCTTTTTAAGGTCTTTTTAGTATCTAAAAGCTGAGAGTTATTTACATTATCTCCCATTTCTAAAGAATCTCCGGGTTTTTTGGATAAAAAGATTTGTGTGTTTATACCAAGTATTTGAAATTTATTTACTACTCTCTCTGTTCCTATTATATCTTCCAATTTTCCATTTTCATCTGTTCCAATTAAACTTCCATTTTCTCCTTTTGTTAAAGAATTTGTGGTTCACAACATTTCTTACACATTTCTCTCTCCTCTGCACAACTCTCCATCACACAATATCTATTTTTCTTAAATTGTGTGCCCATGGGAAAAGGAGATAAAATAGGAAGGGAGGGAGTATAAAATAAATTTTACGGAGTAAAATATTACAGAATAAAAGGGCACCAAAATGAGAGGAAAATGAAATATGGAGAGGCAGTACAAAACTTTCAGCCACAAAACATTTCCTTACAGAAAGTAAATTATCTGGAGTAGGCACGAAAAAGAGTTATGACTGCCTCCACTAGTACAAACACACAAACACAAAAATTATTTCAAAAAATCACGTGCCAATATAATACTCGTACCTTTTAAACACACCAATAGTATCACGAGTCTCATAATTTGTTTGCAAAAAAATCACGTGCCAATTTTTTTTTCCCATAATTTGTTTGCATGTTTGTTTCTACTTTATCCACTCGTCCCTTTTAATTATGTTAGTGACTTGACTCACTTGAGCCTTTGACTTCAATTTTGGAGTGTATGTTATTGCTATATTAAATGTCTAGTGAAGCTATACGATTTTATGCATTTTAAACTGCTGTCTTCTACTGTTTTGAGCAATTTTTCAATTTGTAATGTTTACTTACATCATTCTGCTTACATGCATTGAGTCATTGAGGATGTTGGAAAATGTCTTTTCACCCCAAAAAATGGCGGTTTGACTTTGACCCCTTATAATGTTTTCAATAATTGAAAACGTTTGGTAAAAAACTATTCTGCCCTAGTGTTTTTAGACGGAACCACCAAAATGAAAACACTCCAAATAGTAGTGCTTTGAAATACTACGTATGGTGTTTTCTACTTATTGTTACGGTTAAACAGCTAAATTACCAAATGTTTTCTGACAACCCGCTAACTTATTCCGCTAGTTAAACCCACTCATTGAATCCGTTATTGAAACCCTGCTAATCGCTAACCGCTAAATGCCAAACCCTGTTAATTTGTTTGACCTTATCTCTTGCTCCGGGTTATTGGTTCTCATTCCTTCATATTACAGCATAGAAAGCAAATACACAAATGGGCTGGCTTAATGGAGCTTACATTTGATACATATCCATATCCATTTGATCAGGACGGGTTAAATGACTTTCAGTATATGTACCTGAACATTACCTGGCCCATGTAGTTCTAGCCAATAATTATGCGCCATCAACATTCATCATACTCTCTCCTCCCACTGAGTTCTTCCTAAATTCAGTAAATTGACTTGGCTCGCAAATTTATATAGTGGGAATAAAGTTGAAATGTATGGTTGTAGTTGTGTAAGAAAAAAGTGATTGAATGTGAACCATATATTTTTTCCAAAAATAGAAGTTGGAAGAATTAATTGGGACGGTCCAAAAAGGAAAGTTGGAAGGAATGACCGGGACGGAGGGAGTATCTTTTTTTTTTAATTATTATTATTATTTTTTTTTTGCATCATATAATATTCTCGTATATGATATTATTCCTCATTGAGTCCTTTATAAATATTGGATTCTTAGTTCTTATACTGTGAAGTTTTTGTTTTGTTCTGCTGAACTGGCGCTATAGAAACATTAATACACAGATAGCAGTGAATTTGAAGCTAGTATATGTTCTCTTTTTTCCTTTCTTTTGAGGTGTGTGTATGTGATAATTTGATGTGTCCACTGGTCATTCATGTTCAGTCTCCTGATTGAAGATAAACTTCAAGCTTAGATTTTTATTCTGATTTCTGGTCCAAAATGATTTGTGGGCTTTTGTCATTGCGCTCAACTGCCTTCAACTTTTATGATTTTGTGACAGCTGTCTTAAATGGGTTACAAATCCCCTCTGGATTTATTCCAAGATCACATTACCTTTTTTTTAAGAAGATTTTTCTGTTTCTAGATCCAGGACTGCAAGTACTAAAGTTGATACCATTATGGTATTATTATTTCCTTTGACCTGGTGCATTATCATCTCTCATTTTACTCTAAAATCACAACATACCTCTTTCACCAGGTTGAGGCAGGATTCTGCAATGTGGAAAGGTGATGGGGATTAATTAATATCAATATTGAAATATGGTTACTCTCTAAACTACTGAAATACTTGTGCACAAATACTAAGAAACCAGTATTTAAGAAAAAATCAGGAGTAAAAGTAGTATTGTATGACTAGAATACCTATTTAATTTCTAAAAGTGACTTAATATTGAAATGTGAAAAATGTGCTATTGAAATTTGTTTATAGCAAAGAGAATGGACAAAAAGCATGAAGAATGGACAAAAAGCATTACAGGTAAAGAAGTGTGATGGTAGAAAATTACTGATTACTGCTCTGCTGAAACTCTCAAGTGACAGTGAGTTTAGAACATAAGTTTTTCTCTAAACCAAAGCTAAAAGAGAACAGATTCCAAAGATTAATTTTTTATGCTAATTAGGTCTAAAACTTCAGTGGAGATGGATGCATCCCTTTGTTGTTTGCACTTTGCAACTTGCATCAGCCATTTAAGTTAGTGGTGGTGTGGTATACTCACTACAAGTTCAATGACTGATAGATAACACATGCATGGGGGTCCCTAAAGTGGAAATTTGCAGAAAAGATAAGAAAATGGGAGCCATTTACAGTTTATGTGCAGGGCAGATTAATGTTGCTGTCATGACAACTGGGAACAGCCCTAAATGAAACATTCATTAGTTCACATGAATTTTAATGTGTTTTATATATCTGTTCAGAAACAGCCTAGAAATAAACTTTTGTGCCATATTACAAGGATTGCAGGTTTTACTTTGGTTGTAGTTGGCAGCATCAAAATGTTCTCCCCCATTATTGCTTCCCTTCCCTGCCCTTCATGATTGGTTGTAAAGATACAAACCATTATATCCCTTCTCTTAATCTCTTGTATTCTTGTTTATTTGGTCTTTGGAGACTATTATAGCTTATCAGACTGTTTTTACCAACCCTTGTAGCTATGCTGGCTGCTGCACAGACAGAAATTAATGGATTGATAATTTAAAAATAGTGCGCAAGGCATTTATTTATTTTGTAAAAAGTAAGCAAAATGAATGAGCAGAGAGTTTCACCCCCATTTTCATATTTTTTTTATTATGCCAAAGAAACACTGCCATTTCAGCCAAATTCATACTTATAAAATGGGATCTCAATCCAGGATTAAGAAATTGAAAGAAAACTATTACTAAGTACGCAGTATAATATTGTGAACTTTCTAAGTTGAGGATCTCTCACCTGAAAAGTCTAATGAAGGTTCATATGATATAAATCTAATTTATCTGATTTGTTATGTGGCTGACCATCATTCTGTAACATTTAGTTTTCCCACAAAGATTAGAATTTGGATTCATTATGGGAGCAGGCCGTAATTCTAATGATAACTTGTCAGGACACTAAGAGACATTAAGGTTTGCAATGATATGGAGAACTTTTTGGTATGGAGTTTCAATGATGTAGACTTGTCTGGTTTCATAACTTTTTAATATTTTTTATTTTATTTTTATTTTTATTATTATTACAATCATTATTATTAGTTATTGCAACAAAGTGTTTGGATAGTATATCTATTGCTTACATCGGAAAGTGTTGTATATTGTCTTGTTTATCCAACTGTTTTGAGAATGATTTAAACAGAATCTGTGTCTCCAATGTAACAGTACCAAAAAAGACTCCACCTTTATAGTTTTTTGAATGAGTTAATTACCTTCTTTACTTCTTTATATGTAAAAATGTTTTGACTAAGCATGATAGTTAACTAGTTAAATGAAGCAATTGCAATTCTAAGTAACAAGATGGGATCTTTTTTCCTTTTAGGCTTGGGTTGTTTCCCAGTGCATTGATAGCTAAAAGATCAAGAAAAGAATAGAATTCAAGAGCAACATTTCTCTGTTATTTTTCCAGAACTAAACATTAAACTAAGCTGCTGCCAACATCAACAGCAAAAAATGATGTCCTAATATCCCCATCTCCTTTCAAACCACCTGTCAAAATAAAATAATCAAGTGTAAGGAAAAAATAATGGCTATAACGATATGAAAAAATCGCGAAAATCACTATTAAGTAACTACTCATTGAGTAAACTGTTAATTATCAATTTGAAGACATAAGTGTGACAAATGCAGTTATGGAAAACTAGCCAGTTGGTTTTTGAAAACTACTATACTTCGTTACAAAATTAATTTTTTTCCAATAGGTATTTATTTATCAATACTCAAGGGGAAATCCCTAAAGAAAGCCTTTGTCTATTAAAAGAGAGAGAGAGAAAAACAGAGAAAGAAATCAAGGGATATATGACTCAACTGGTTTGGTTGCAATTGAAAGAGCTCAGAGTGCTCCTGGTGATGTGTAGATTGCCCATGAAATTGAGTAGTTGAATAGCCATGTGAAAAACCTGGTACTACAACATTCTCTCCTGAACTGTGATTGTTGTTCTGGCTGAAGTTATTCTGCACAAGATAACCATTCATTTGGCTTTTTATTATTTTATTCAAAATAATCAGTAAATCCAATAAAACCAAATACGTTAAGTCAAAATCATCAGTACCATTCAATGTAATCTGTTCATAAGCAGAACGAACAAGTAAGCTACCAAACGCTGATTTAGCCTATTATAGCTACCAAATAGAGCCTTATTATTTTTTCTAATGGAATTTGGCAACTTACATGAGTGGAGGTGAAGATGGGAGAACTGGCTGTATCATCAAGAGCAGAAGAAGCCTTTTCCTTTAGCTTCTCACGCCTGTTTGGTTTCTTCTTATGGCTTTTGGCATCGACCTTAGCAGGCAACAATAATGCAGCATCAATAGGATAGTTGTCATAACACAAACCAAACTCCTCTTCTCCAAATACTTGTGGAGGTCCAGAAGATGCATCTGAAATCATAGACAAATCCTCCTCCTCTTCTTCTTGTTTATTTATCATACTTTTATGTAAGAACTCATTACCATGAGAATATGTAGTGCATGGAGGAATGAGAGAATTCTCCAAATACATAGTCCATCCAGATTCACAGCCACTGCCATAATCCATCTCTAACCAAAATGGCTTAGCAAGTAGAATTGAAAGGACTCTTTTTGGTTCTTGAAAGAGTGAGGAAAGCTCACTATGGGAGTGTGTATGGTGTATTTGTATGTAGTAGTAGAAGTTGGTTCCAGCAATGCAAGTGGGTGAGAAAAGAACAAAGGGAGAATCAGTGCTGAAAATCTTACAACTCTCTTTTTTTTGTCTTGACGCATTCTTTATTTTTTGGTTGTGAAATGTGTGATTGTGAATCACAAAAAGTGACAGCTGGGTTTATTGTTTTTTTGCCAAAACAAGGAAGAGTAGAGGCTGTCGTGTTTATTAACAGCAAACCTCTTGTATGCATGTCCTTTGTCTTAACTCATCATATCCCGCAGTACAAAATAACATGTAAGTCATTGAGCTACTTGACTTTTCAGAATGCAACTTCAAATCTTGATAGATTTCAAGCCAATTAAACTATAACAGGAAATTAGATCCTAGTTAGCCTCAACACGAGTATACATACGTCCTTGGGTGACTCCTCATGGAGGAATGAGAGAATTAGCGTTTCAAACGACCCGGCCCAGTGGACAGGAAATCACTCCATTTATGGACACATTTAAGAAGTTGAATAAAAAAATTATTGGATCTTTTTAATTATCTTCAAATCCTTCAATACTGGATTCTATGAATCTTACTCATGTACAACATGATTTGTTATGACAATAGAAACACTTATTTTTAAGCGAATCAGGCGTGAGATGCTTGGAGAAGAGGAGTTTGGTTTGTGTTATGCCTCACATAAGATTTATGTGCCGATTCGAACAAAGACACGTTTGGGTGGTGGTAGTTCTTTGTATTTTTTTCTGAGCCAATAGATCTAAAGTTAGGACAATGTGGGGTTCTTGATTTATATTTTATACTTGGAGAATATGAGAAGACTTAAGCTGACCTTAAATATTGGTTTATATCTTCAGATTCTACCTGTATAATTAAGATGACTTTATAGTTTATACTCAAAGTGATTTTGTTAATAATTCCAAATGTAGAACCTAGGCTGCTCAACACAATTTGCATGCTATGCTTCCATCTTCTTTTAATTTGCTCTCATTATTTGGACAGCTAGCAAAGTATTCATCCCCCCTGCCTGTAGTGTAGAGTCACTACTTCACTGACCCAACCCACTCCCTAGCTACAAACCCCATCAGAATTAGGTTGTTTTGTATAGCAAGCCTATCTCACAACCATGTGTTTGTTTAAAGTTGTTACAATGATTGTTTGTCTATCAGCTAAAACTTCCTTGTACAAACCCTAATTAAGATATTAAACAAACTATCCAAATTAAGATTACTGAAGGATTGCTATTAGAGATCCAACTAAGATGACACAGTCCGTGTTTGACGGGTTCAACCCGACGATGCCGATAGATCACATACTGAGGATCAGCCGTTATAATTAATCGTCATGTTATTTCCTTGTAATGCCCAAATATTAAAGAACATTATGATAGATAAACACCCATTTTGTACTATTCTTAGTAATCATATTTGTTGTTTTATTAGTTTTTATTATGTTCGTCCCTTAGGGTGTGTTTGGGAGTTTGTGGGTGAGAGAAGGAGAAAGCTTTGAAGGGGAGTAGAGAGAAGGGAAGGGGAGGGAGATGGGAATGGATTCCCTCCTCTTGTTTGGGAGTTGTAAATTTCAAAAGAGGAGGGTTTGGGTACTTGAGGGGTTTCAGCGGCAGAGAAATGAAGCGAGTAACAGCTCATAAAGATTTTATGCGGAAGCGGTATTAGTTTCAGAGGATAAATGTCTCATTTGCGTAGCTAGACCTTGGAATTAAAAACCCTCAAATCGGGGGGAATAAATGTCTTATTTTATACTTTTTTAAAATAAAAATTCTCGTATTATAGATAATTTCGTGTACAAACATACTGGTGGTCAATGCTAAGTCTTGCCGCATACGAAAAACCCTAGAAGGGTGAGCAGCCGATTAGGTGAGGAACGGCGAAGGCTCTTGACCTTCTAAGCTCCAACGCTTAATCTCGAGAGGAGAGATAAAGTTCACACACAATTGAAAAAAATGGTATGTACACTCTTATATGTGATGCATTATTCTCTATGATTTCTAGGGTTCTTCTTCTTCTGTCAATTTTGACAGTGGTGTTATGAGTGACTTCTTCTCAAATTAATGATGCAAGTGTCTACAAGGTGTATGCTATTGCTCAATTGCCGTTGATGACATTCATCGAGTTTTAAATATGTTTCTCTCAAATAATATCACGATTCTTGACCCATCTATGGCGTCACTGTTGATCTGCTAACCACCGCCACATAGAAAGGAGTAGTATAATCTTAAAATGATGGTCCTGTATTTCCTTTTTGGGATGTCCGCCACATAGGGACAACAAAAAGATAAAAATTCGCAAAGTCCAGCAGGACGGAAGGAGTATCCTTTAAAAAAACATACTACCTCCGTCCCAAAATGATGATCCTGTATTTCCTTTTTGGGATGTCCCAAAATGATGATCATGTTTCCCTTTTTGGAAAGAAAAGTGTGGTCCATATCATTTCACTTTATTATACTCAAATCTCAACCACAACTTTTACATTATCAACCACTTTATTAAAACTTGTGCCCAAAAGAAATGAGACCATCAAATTGGGACGGATGCAGTAACAGTTAAAGTTTAATACTACGTATTAATATATCCTTTCACTCTTCTACTAGCTCACATGAACGTCGACAGCCATTTCAGTAATAAACAAGTGCTCTTATATACTCCATCCGTCCCGGTCATTTCTTCCGGTTTTGACTTGGCTCGCAAATTTAGATAGTGAGAATAAAGTAGAAATGTATGATTGTAGTTGTGTAAGAAAAAGGTGAATGAATGTGAACCACATAGTTTTTCCAAAAGTGAGAGTTGGAAGAATTAATTGGGACGATCCAAAAAGGAAAGTTGGAAGAAATGACCAGGACAGAGCTGAGGGAGTACTTCGTAATTCGTATAAAGTAAAAATACTTCTTCGTCCCATATAAACATAATTGATTTTCAACGGGGATAAAGATAATTCATCTCACAGATACCTAAATGGGTTTTAATCATTAAATTTTTATATATTTAGAAATTAAATTAAAAGTTCTACATGGCATAAAATCAAAATTAGAATATAATAAAAAATATGATATATAGCCTAAATAAGTAATTAAATTCAAATTGGGTTGACAAAAAGGAGTACACTTATAATCAAACCAGTTTGGGACATTGCAAATACCTGTGTTTGGGATGAGTAGATTTATGAAGCACGCTAGCGTGCTAGTAAGGAGCACACTCGTGTAATGAATGACTAATTAAGATTCATTCTTTTAAAATATTTAGAAAATTTCTACCATTCATTCTTAGTTATTCTGTATATTTTATTCTATATATTTTAAAGTTTGCTCTAGCTATATATTTTCTCGTTTGAGACCAAGAAAGTAAAATGTACTCCGTAGTATAGTTGCATGAATTAGAAGCTGAGCTCAGTTTTGATTAAAGAATCCCACGTCAACAATTTATACTCCATCCGTAACACCCGTATCTTCTTACTTTTCTTTTTAGCTGTAACATTGATATCTTCTCATTTTTAAATCTTCCTATCATACCCTCAATAATTCTAAAACTAATACACTATTACATTTACTTTTTTTGGATTTATCCTTCATTCCATCACACTATTTCATTATCTTCCCATCATACCCTTAATAATTTATATCTCCTTTCACTATTTTTAATAGGGAAATTACCCAAAATAGGAGCAAATGACATTTGGAATTCCAAAAATAGGACTAGTATGTTTTTCTTCCCCAAATAGGAGTTATTACTGTCATGATTGAAAAATACTGTCATGATTGAAAAATACTGTCATTAATTATAATAAATAATGTAATGTTAAATGTACCGTACTACAACTATTTGGCAGTCACGGCTACAAGATGACAGTAAATATTGCCATGTTAGTCCCATTTCGGGAATAAAAACAAAGTAGTGCTATTTTGGAATTTCAAACTTCATTTACTCCTATTTTGAGAAATCTCCCCTTTTAATATCACCTACTTTTAAAATGGGAAGATATATCCGTCAGGGAGGTAGTATACATTATTAATTTGTACGGTGTGGGTTTTAAGATTGAGCAAATTCTTTGTACCACCTGAGAGGAAGTTGACGATAGATGAAGAATGCATGCAAAGGACCTGTTAATCAATTACTGTAATTGTTATGAAGGTGCAGAAATCGTTCAGAAATGGAGTGTCAGTTCCAGGTTTACAGCTCACCCGGGCCTCCATCATCATAGGCCTAGCTAGCTTATGAATAATGGAACTATACTCTTGGACCACTACTTTAGTAATTACTCCTACTCCTCTGTATCATTTCATAATCATAACATAAATTTCGTTTTTAGTTGAACTATACTCTTGGACCACTACTTTAGTAATTACTCCTACTCCTCTATATCATTTCACTATATTAAAATGCATAGGGCATCTGTAAGTACCAGGATCAGGGCTCCCAACATCGGACAGTTAAATGAGATGATGTAAATTGGACTTTTATCATAAGCTAATAGATAGAGAGTGAGACTCTGGTCCTGGTACTTGTAGATGTCCTATGCATTTTAGTATAGTAACTTCTCATCGCAGTTGCCGGGATTCGAACCCGAGACTTACCCCTTGTGGCACCGCCTATCTAAAAGTTGAGCTACGCCCATCGGCTCATTTTCAGTTCTTCAATTGTACCTATGAATGGTTCGATACGGTATATCGAATAGTTTCTCTCATACCTTTACCGTGCCAAAATTTTCGGTATAAAAATTTATATACCGTTACCTTACTGAAATTTCGGTATACCGAAGTTTTGGTTCGGTAATGATACGGTATTTGTAAATTACCATGCATGTCTCCTAATACAACAAATTATGATCGACTAACGAAATACACAAAATCAGTGTTAGTAGTAACATACTTAATACATTATTAAAATGTTACAAATACAAATAATAATCTATTGTTGTCATATTTAATACTCCCTCCGTTTCTGAAACAAGTTCCACATTTGACTTCACACATATTAAGAAAATAAATTTGACTTTACTGTAGAGTGCACTGTTTGACACTGTTTGGCACTGTTTGAACACTGTTTGACACTGTTTGACACTGTTGTAATGTAGATAATTTGCCAAATAAAGAAATGTTTGAAAGTGGAACTTAATTTTGAATCTTTCCAAAAAGGAAAGGTGGAACTTCTTTCAGAAACGGAGGGAGTAT